ATCTTCACAGCCATAAAAGATGCAGGAGACCTCTCCAGTTTTCGATGTGGCAACCCAAGAAGAATGGGTAAATACAGTGTTCCCTCACTTTTTGCGGGTGTTACATTCCAGGACCACCCGCAATAAGTGAAAATCCGTGAAGTAGGGATGCTATATTTATTTTAATATTTTAATATTTATACATTATTTTAGTAGTTATACACTTTTTAAAGTCTTTATAAACTTAAAATAAACCCTCCCCACACACTTATACACTACATAACTCTTTCCCTTAATAACCTTTCCCACACTGTTCTGTACAATACATGTTCTGTACCTGTTTCTTTTAAAACACTCCTGTAACTTTGGCTTCACCCACCCACCTCCTTGTCAGTACAGTGGCTGCAAAGGAAGGAAAGAAAGGAAGCAAGTCCTCCTCGCCTTCCCCTTCACTGGGTGAAGAGAGAGAGAGCAAAGGAAAGGAAGGAAAGGCCCTTCAAGACTGGAGGGAGGGAGGACTGAGGAGGGAAAGCACCTCAGTGAGCAGCGGCAGCAAAAACCCACAAAACAGTGAAAATACCACAATATATATTTTAAATTAATATTTATTGAAAAACTGCAAAACAGCAAGTCCACTAAAAGCAAACCACGAAGTAGCGAAGGAACACTGTACATGACTTCTTTAGGAAAGATAAGTTATGGCCAAAAGAGGGGCTTTTGTTGTTGTTGTTTGTTTGTTTGTTTGTTTGTTTGTTTTCCTGGTAGAATATGACACACTTTATGGCAAAGGGCATCCGATATTCTTAATGATGTGGTTCTGCACATGATTTGAACTTCTGTAGAAATGGTAGCAAATTTCAATGAAACTTAAACACTGGGATTTTTTTCCAAACATAGACAGTTTTAACAAAAAGTAAAAGAGAGCTTAGGGAGAATCATAAGAATTTTTTCCCAGCAGCCAAGATTAATTTCAAATATTTCGAACACTCAGGCAATTATTTCCTTCCAAAGGATAATTCATTCTGCTCCTTACTTACTCGGTGTAAAATCAATCTGTTCTGTTTGTATGACATAAACAACAAGGAGTTTCACAGGAATGAGCCAAACCATATGTGAAGGTGTTTAAGAAAGCACAACAGGGAATACACTGTGCAAAGAAGCATCTGCATTTATTTCAATGTCAAATCACTTGTGTGTTATAAAAAAGGGGAAGTTTATTGTTTTTATTAAAAACAATGTTGCTACGCTGCAATGCTTACAATTAACCCTTGCTTTCCCTCAAGCTCCCACAATTTGTTCGCCCACTAAGGAAAGCTGATGAAACTAAACCATTTTTTGTGGCTGGGTTTTTATATATAATTCCATGGTGCATTTTCAAATAAGCTTTATACTCTGCGAACTATCATTGGATTTGCTGTGTTATTTATGTACTCCAGATAATACTGTATATGAGTTAAATAATGAGCAACATTACATGTAGATCTCCATTTAATACATCTGAGTTTGTTAATGTTGTTAAATAGCTAACAGAAATATGAAGGTTTCAAGAAGGACACAGATTTTAGGTACTATAGTCTTGAGGGAAAATTACCTAGAGATTAAATTCACATCTCCTGGCCTATCATTTTAACAAGTAAATGAACCAACCCAGATCTGCAGATCTGCAGGATCTTTCATATTACAGAGTTAGAGGACTGTGATTCCACTTTAAGTACCACAACAATATACAGTTGAATCCTTTGTTTGTGGTTTGGTGAGCCACTGGAGGTCTATTGCTGAGATTTTCTAAGGCCACTTTTAAAACTATAAATCCCAAAATTTCATTGGGTTGACAACAACTGTTAAATTGGAATTATAATACTATAATTCTATGGTGTGAAAGAGCACTGTAAAATGTATTAAGATACAGCTTTGGGTCTGCTGCCAGAATGACCAGCAATCCAACATTTACATGTTCCTCACTTTGGAAATTACTTGAATTCACATATCATTTTTTAAATTTCATGCAACTTCACTACATTTATTCACTCATCTATCATTTTGCTTTCCTATTTAGATCAGGAGTGGAAGTCCAATGAATGTGTCACATGAGATTTCCTTGGTTGTGTGTGTATACAACAGAAGGGCATTTTCCATTTACAATCTGCATTCATGTTTTGTTCATAGAAGTGCTTTCTGTATAACAAAATATATTTGAAGCATTCCAGAAATGAGTGGATGATATAAATGATTTTGTTATCATCTCTGTAGATTGAACCTTCGTTTCAAATTAGGAATTAGAATGTTGTTTACTTGATTCTCTTTATGTTATGGCATCACACTCAACAGCAGTATGGAGGCACATGTTGACTGCAATGAGACCAGTGTTTCTAACAACTATTACTATATTGTTCTGTTTATCTGCATGTCTGTGTATGTAAAACCCCATGTAGTGAAGGCACGCATACTGCAGTGCATATACTACTTGGCTCCTGTATTCCTGTTTACAAGGCAAAGATAAAGGGGCGCCAGGATACTGAAAAAACACAAAGTATTTCCAAGGCAACTGTTAGCTGATAATTAATACAGTAAACGTATAACTTTGAAGATGGCTAGTAGTACAGTATTTTATGATAAATAGACTTTATGGGGATTTTTTAAAAGCTAAATTTTGTAAAAAGGCTACCCCAATAAATGATTTACCAGCTCCAGTAAAAGATCAAGGAAATTGCTCTGATTGCATCTCAGAGTATCTGAAACTCTGATGTTTATGGAAACTGAAAAAGCCCCCAGACCTAAAGCCCCATTAATTCTTCCTTTTTGTCCTTAATCATCTGACATAATATATTTTAAAGGAACGAAGCCTATGAGACAAGTCTAGATCAGAGAAAAGAACAGCTCTACTGAGACCAAGTTGAAAGGAAGTCAGGGGCAGAGAAATGAAGATGGTAAATAAGAAAAAGGTTAGCGGCCTTCACCAATCTGCCCAGCTTCCTCTTGGTATTTTGTTCTGCAACTCCCATAAGCTCCAGCCAACATAGTGAACACACAACTCATTGTCAGTTGAGGAAGAGAAAACCCATAGTGTAGGACTGGAGGGTGGGGGAGGGGAAGTATTTCCAGCTCCTGTAGGTCCTAGCCCTACTACCCAGTAGGGCTGTGCAAAAAAAATGTAAGAGGGTCATAAGTCCTCCTTAGAGTTTAGTTAGATCGTACTTATGACTGGATTTACAAAGACCAGGCAGCACCTACTCCCTTACAAATTAATAAAAACATTCAGTTCCACAGTTTTCGTAAGAACTTTGTAAGTCTCAGTGAGTCTGCCTATTCTTTCAGTGTAAGCAAACTCTACTGGGCTGTGCAGGCAAACTTGTTAGGTCATATGCTAGCCTCAGGCTATTGGGGCTGAGAGCTGAGGAAAGGTGAACAGTTGCTCCTGGCATTTCCAATTGTTTTTCATTTGTAAAACTATGAAGAATTCCTAAAAATCGGCGAATGAGTGGATTTTTCTGAAAGATGGCAGGAATGATGTCCTGCTCCTTTCTCTGTGAAGAAATTCCAGGGAATACCTCATTTGGTGTTTTTTTTTCTTTAAAAACATTTGGGCTATTTTTTTTAATCTCTAAAAATCAGTGGATATAGGAATCTTTCTGAAATGGCACAGAAAATGTTGTGGGTGAAGACTTGTTTAGCACAATATTCACATATGGGTTTTTTTGTATAAGATAAAAAAGGATATTCTAAATGGTAAACATAAAAAGCATTTTCTGCACACAAAGTATTTCTGCATATATATTTTTTCTGTACAGAAACTGCTGTTTTCTCAACAAAAACTATGAATACTGAAGATTCTCATCAGTCCAACGTTTCCTGACTCTTTAAATTTTAAAAATATTTTCAAATATTCTTCCCATTCTTTCTTGCAATGGGGCTAGAACCAGCAAAGAGCTACTCTACAAGGAACAGTTCGAATAGACTATTCAGAGAGAAAATTCAGCCAGGGTACAGTGTAAGTAGGACTACTAGTTCATGTTTTCCATTTTTGCATTAAAACTATTCATTTGGTCCACTGAGTACATCAAAAATGGGCCTGAAGCAAGCAGGCCAATTGTGGACACTGGTGGGTTAGGAAGAGGGCAGGTGAAGGAAGGCTAGAATTAAGCAAAGAAAACATATAAAAAATAACCATAATTTTCACTCTCACCATCATCATTTTACTATAAAATTATGGTTATTTTTCTCTCTCACTATTTTGGACGCTCAGAGCAATAATCTTCATTATGATTTTCTGTGAGCTATAAAGCATCAGTGAGAATTGTTAAAATTGTAACTGTCAAGGTAAGCACGTACCTAATGCCTAGTTCAAAAGGCAGAAAAACAAAAAGGGGTAGCATTTTTGACACTTCAGGCACTTCTACTTTGAAATTTGTACATGGACACACGATTAATGCATATTTACATTACATACAAACCATATCTATCCAAGCATGATGTGTGTGCATGCACCCATATACACATAATACATTTTAATGTTGGAAATGGCATCACATATTCCTTAGTGATCCTTTTTCCCTTTTAAAATTTGGAATTGCTTTGCCTGAATTTTGACATTGTATTAGATGGAACAAGCGCTTTTGGGTCAGGAGGAAGAGGAAGAGACTGCATCTCACTGAAAACCCCAAGGCAACGCTGGGGAGGCAGAATATAAAATTAGGATTTGGCAAGAATATTGTGGCTAGAACTGCTACTCTAGCAGCTACTCTTTTCAAAGAAGCGCCTGGGGCTCTTTAATAACCACAAATGGCCAGGAACTCATTTTTATGGCTTATTCAAACGGCATCACTTCCAGCAACAGAAGAAATGAAATGTATTTTCTGATTCTAGAAATGATGAACAGTCCTGGTACTAAATCACCACTTGTTTCAACTGTCATGTCCCCTTAGTTAGTGTTGCCTCTCTCTCTCTTTCGCCCTCCCAGATACATTTTACATACTTCTAAATGAGTAAACTGAAAACAAATGCTGCAATATAGATTGGCTCACCATACAGAGATTCTGTGCTTCTCCAACTCTTCCAGATAAGTTGCACTATGTAAAACTGTTTCAGCAGCATTTTGCCAAGGTCCAGGACTTCTTTGACCATGCACATTCTGTGAAACATTCAGATTCAGCTAAAAATGATAAATACAGGAGATCATAAATAGGGCAGATGCAGTGACCAAACAATGCAAGTTTAAAACTTTACCATCCCTATTCTAATTCTCTCTTTAAAAAAAAAAACAGTAAACTGCATTTGAAGCTTCCAGGTTTTAACAGATGACTGCCAAATAAATTTAGTTCCAACTAGCTCATACACTTTTCTTTTGGTACTTCTTAGGGTGCTTCCAGACAGGGTCAAAATTTGAATTAAATTAGTGGGTTTAAAAACCACAGGACCTGATAGCAAGTTCGTAGAATCACAGAGCTGGAAGAGACCTCATGGGCCATCCAGTCCAACCCCCTGCCAAAAAGCAAGAACATTGCATTCAAAGCACCCCTGACAGATGGCCAGCCAGTCTCTGTTTAAAAGCTTCCAAAGAAGGAGCCTCCACCACATTCCAGGGCAGAGAGTTCCACTGCTGAACGGTTCTCACAGTCAGGAAGTTCTTCCTAATGTTCAGATGGAATCTCCTTTCTTGTTGTTTGAAGTCATTGCTCTGCGTCCTAGTGTCCAGGGCAGCAGAAAACAAGCTTGCTCCCTCCTTCCTGTGACTTCCTCTCACATATTTATACATGGCTATCATGTCTCCTCTCAGCCTTCTCTTCTTCAGGCTAAACATGCCCAGCTCCTTAGGCCGCTTCTCATAGGGCTGGTTCTCCAGACCCCTGATCATTTTGATCGCCCTCCTCTGGACACATTCCAGCTTGTCAATATCTCTCTTCAATTGTGGTGCTCAGAATTGGACACAATATTCCAGGTGTGGTCTAACCAAGGCAGAATAGAGGGGTAGCATGACTTCCCTGGACCTAGACACTATACTCCTATTGATGCAGGTCAAAATCCCATTGGCTTTTTTTGCCGCCACATCACATTGTTGGTTCATGTTTAACTTGTCCACAAGGACCCCAAGATCATTTTCACACATACTGCTCTCGAGCCAGGCGTCCCCCATTCTATATCTTTGCATTTATTTTTTCTGCCTAAGTGGAGTATTTTGCATTCAGATACAGAATTGACAATCCTATGAAATGGTCCCCCACCATCCTAACAATTTACTTTGCAGTGGATTTCCAGCAAAGGTTTTTTGTTTGTAATTCTCTCCAAGATATGCTGGATCATATGTGCACTCATGAGGATATTTCAGTGTACACACATGCAGATTACTTATTTTCTCTCTGCACCTATTAAGTTTTCTATAATATCAGAAACATCAGAAAAACAGGAATGGTTTCAGAGAGTTCTAATTGTAATTACTTTCCATTTGCGCTTCCATTTAGCCACCTGTGTGTCCATGGCTCCATTTTTTTGACAGCCCTGATCAGCTGTTTTGGGCTTTAAAAACATGCCCATGCACTAGAACAATCCACTCCAGGGTATACAAAGAAAGTCGTGTGTTTTCCATTATAACAAGAATATACAATCATGCAATTATGAACATATTTGGCCAGAATAAAGTATTAAGCACGTACTTTTCAGCTGTTAACCTGATTCAGCATGCACACTCGCAAAACATCATTTAACCACCCCCTTTTATCACAGTTTCTTCTGAATTTTAATACATGTGTAGAAGGACCCTTAGTGCACCCAAGTTATCAATGTTTAATTGGCCTAAAGACATGCAACACCAACAGGGTGCATGGTCCTGATTATTATGGCCTTATCACAAGGATAATTTTTAATTGAGATTTGTGTAAACATGTCTGTTTTTCTTGTTTCAGATACTTTGCTGATCTTAGCAGTGCAAGGTGATTTGTTTCACTGTAATGTGGATTGTAAGGTAAGCAGTAGTGTGGAAACCACTCTTTCTCTCGGCGTTTTAGTTTTTGCAACTTCAGTTCTTTGGCTACTGGAGAAATGGCTTAAGTAGTAGCCCAGCCCTCTTTAGCCAGATCTAGCTTTTACTGTTCTTTCCATTCTTAAATGGATTTTGATAATATTGTACAGTTCAACTGAATAAGTACAGTACTTATTTTACTCCATAAATATTTCTCCCCATAAAGCTAACTACTTTCAGTCTGTCTCTGCACACATAAATGTTTAAGAGTAAGGCTGCCTTCCAGGGAAGACTCCCATGGGGCTCCCATTTTGGTCTATACCTGTCTGTTTCAAAAGTATGTGCTTGCTATCACAATGACTGATGGCATAAGAGTAAAATGGATGACACAGAGTTTGAACCAACCCAAATAGTACTATGGAATCCTGGAAGGAACTGTCTAGTCCTCTCAAATACATGAATCTGCTCAATGAATTTGAATCATTTTAGGAATGTAGTTTGGGGAAGAGATAATTGAGGGCATTGCCGTTCTAAATAAGAATTCTCCCATCCAAATGATTTTTTCCTTTAGTTCCAAAATATCTAGAATTGAACTTACTGAAGAGCATTTCATAGAATCATAGAATCAAAGAGTTGGAAGAGACCTCATGGGCCATCCAGTCCAACCCCATTCTGCCAAGAAGCAGGAATATTGCATTCAAATCACCCCTGACAAATGGCCATACAGCCTCTGCTTAAAAGCTTCCAAAGAAGGAGCCTCCACCACACTCCGGGGCAGAGAGTTCCACTGCTGAACGGCTCTCACAGTCAGGAAGTTCTTCCTAATGTTCAGATGGAATCTCCTCTCTTGTAGTTTGAAGCCATTGTTCCGTGTCCTAGTCTCCAAGGAAGCAGAAAACAAGCTTGCTCCCTCCTCCCTGTGGCTTCCTCTCACATATTTATACATGGCTATCATATCTCCTCTCAGCCTTCTCTTCTTCAGGCTAAACATGCCCAGCTCCTTAAGCCGCTCCTCATAGGGCTTGTTCTCCAAACCCTTGATCATTTTAGTCGCCCTCCTCTGGACACATTCCAGCTTGTCAATATCTCTCTTGAATTGTGGTGCCCAGAATTGGACACAATATTCCAGGTGTGGTCTAACCAAAGCAGAATAGAGGGAGCATGACTTCCTTGGATCTAGACACTATGCTCCTATTGATGCAGGCCAAAATCCCATTGGCTTTTTTTGCTGCCACATCACATTGTTGGCTCATGTTTAACTTGTTGTCCACGAGGACTCCAAGATCTTTTTCACACGTACTGCTCTCAAGCCAGGCATTGTCCCCCATTCTGTATCTTTGCATTTCATTTTTCCTGCCAAAGTGGAGTATCTTGCATTTGTCACTGTTGAACTTCATTTTGTTAGTTTTGGCCCATCTCTCTAATCTGTCAAGATCGTTTTGAATCCTGCTCCTGTGGCATGGAATCTCTACGGGGAGAGGGGGACTGGGAGCATACGCGAAGATAAGACGAGGTGTGAGACAAACAAGAAGTGGAAATATGGCTAGTAAGCGACAAAGCGAGGGAAGATCGGGAGGACTCAGGTGGACAACAGTGCTGCCCAAGTAGGTGGACAAGGCTTGAGCAGGTTATGATACTTAGAGGCGTGTGTCTGGTAGAAGGTCTCTCGTTGAAGCACATAGCTACTAAAGGTCACTGTTCAATATGACAGTTATGCGTGTTGTGTGCAACAGTGAGACGCGCTGGCCTCGCTAAATTGAACGTAACCGGAAGCGGGACGGCCTGGGATAGGCAGACAAAGCTTAGATACTTCTGTTGGGGGCCATAGATGTAAAAAATCGATTGAGATAGTGAGGCCATCTGAGCTGAGGCTAGAAATTAATCACGCATAATCTGTGTGTTATCAGAAGTCCTGACTTTAGCGACAAGCAAACATTAGCAAGATCCACGAATCAGCCTGAATGAGATTTTTTCTGCCTAGGCACACAGGCCCACATGGGACATACAGTAGTTGTACCTACTTGCCTCATGGTAAAAAAGTCGAATGGGAACTAGACAGGTCTAAAGGACGCATATAATACTCAGAAAGATCTGCGGATGTGCAGGTACCTGCACTGTGAAACAGTAAAGTAAAAATAACCGTAGTTTTGCCTAGCACACATTGGACTAGTTTCCTTGCCAGAAGGTCATCGGGGCCCTTGTCGAAGGCCTTACTGAAATCCAGGTACGCTAG